TCCATTTCTGGGCTTTCTTTTCTGTTTCATTGATCTATGTGTCTATTTTAGTGCCAGGATCATACTGTCTTGATGACTACAGCTTTGTAATATAGCTTGAAGTCTGGGATTGTGATGCCTCCAGGTTTTCTCTTCTTCTTCAAGACTGCTTTGGCTATTTGGAGTCTTTTCTGGTTCCATCCAAATTTTAGGCTTGTTTGTTCTAGCTCTGTGAAGAATGCTGGTGGTATTTTGATAGGGATTGCATTAAATGTGTAGATTGCTTTTGGGTAGTATGGACATTCTAACAATGTCTTTATTCCAATCTATGAGCATGAAATATTTTTCCTTTTCTTTGTGTCCTCTTCGGCTTTTTTCATTAGTGTTCAATTTTTGCAGAGTATAGATCCCTTACCTCTTTGGTTAACCTTATTTGTAGGTATCTTTTGGTTTTTCGTGCAATTTTAAATGGGATCGATTTCTTGATTTCTCACTCTGCTGCTTCATTATTGGTGTATAGAAATGCAACAGAGGTGGGGCAGGGGATGGGGTAACTAGGTGATGGACATTAAAGAGGGCATGTGATATGATGAGCACTTGATGATATACTCGACTAATGAATAGTGAACATTATATCAAAAACTAATGATGTACTGTACCTTGGCTAATTGAATCTTAATAAATAAAAATAAAACAAAACAATAAAAAAATGCAACAGATTTATGTACATTGATTTTATATCCTGTGACTTTGCTGAATTTGTGTATCTGTTCCAGTAATTTTTTGTGGAGTCTTTTGGATTTTTACATAGCATGTCATGTCCTCTGTGAATAGTGAAAGCTTGACTTCTTGTAATCTGGATGCCTTTTATTTATTTTTGTTGTTTGATTATTGAGGCTAGGACTCCAGTACCATGTTAAACAACAGTGGTGTGAGTGGACATCTACCACACTACAGCTCGTGATCGTTTGACTTGTTCCCTGATTTTGGCCATGACTATTCTTGAGCATGTATATTGGTGCACCTATGCATAATATTTGCAAGGTATTTGCCACATATGGCATTGCTGGATCTTAGGTTTCTGTATCTTCAAGTATAATAATTTGCACTTCCTTCAGCAGATTATTAGAGTTCCTGTGACTTTCTATCCACTGCAACACTTGGCATTGTCAGACTTTTAAATTTTTGTCCATCTGGTGATATTTCCTTATAGTTTTAATTTGAATTTCCTTACAGGTTTAATTTGCATTTCTTTAATAAAGTTGAGCAACCTTTCATCTATTTCCTGGTCATTTTAATTTCTTCTCTTAGGAAGTGCCTCTGCCAATTTTTTTCGTTTTCTTCTACTGAGTTGTCCATACATTTATTTTCTTTTAACTTTTTATTTGAATTCAATTTAGTTAACATATATTGTAGTATTAGTTTCAGGGGTAGAATTTAGAGATTCATCAGTTGCATATAACACCTATATTACATCAAGTTCCCTCCTTAATGCACATCACCTAATTACCCCATCCCCCCACCCACATACTTTTCTTAATTGTAAGAGTTCTTTAATATTCTGGTTACCAGACTTTCCCAGTTATATGTGTTCAGATATATTTTGCAGTCCTATTGCATGTCTTTTCAGGCTCTTTAGAGTGTCTTTTAATAAACCAAATGTGTTAATTTGATTGTGGTTGATTTTTATGAAAACTTCCTTTATCTTTAGTGTTTTTATGTGCTGATCTTGTTTAAGAAATACTTCCCTACTCCAAGGTTATGAGGATATTCCCCTTTATTACCTTTTAAGAGCTTAATAATTTTGCTTTTTCACCTGAAGTCTTTAATCCAGTTGGATTCTATTGTAATTATGGAGTGAGGTAGGGATTCAATGTTTTTTGTTTTTCTGTTTGCTTGATTTTTTTTTTTTTTGTATGGGCCAGTTTTCCTAGGATTATTTATTGAAAAGTCTGTCCTTTCTCCCACTGCTCCACAATGCCACCAATGTTATATATCAAGCCCATATATGCACATGGGTAACATTTTTGAATTAGTTTTCCTCTCCTGGAAGCCACCCCATCAGCGCCCACTGCACTTGGCATGTGAGGGAGTGCCCACTGGGAACGAGGGCCTGAAGAGCAGCAGCTGTAACATCAACCATCCCATCTTCCAAGAGGGCACTAAGGTGAGTGCCTCCCCCCAGATCCTCATCACTCTTTGCCCTTGTCCTGACGCATTTCTTTCCCTTACTCCTCCATGACCTTCCTTATTCCCATTCCTTCTTTCTTCTTCTCTCAGGGCACCTTCATCGTCACATTTGATGTCTCCTACAAGGCCACCCTGGGCAACAAGTTGCTTCTGAGGGCCAATGCAAACAGGTGAGGCGAGGTGTATCCCTCCCTCTTTCATCTCATGCCCCAGCCAGAGACTTTTCTCCTGGATTCCTTCCCGATGAGGCTCCCCTCCCTCCCTCTCTCTCTCTCTCACTCTCTCTTTCTGTCTCTCTCCAGTGAGAATAATAAACCTACAACCAGCAAGACCACCTTTCATCTGGAGCTCCCAGTGAAATATGCTGTCCACATGGTGATCAGCAGGTCTGAACCTTTGACTCTCCTATAATCCTAGTACCTCCGCTTGAAGCCCAGACTGCTCTTTAAAGGATAGGTATCTGAACTAGCCCTCTAATTCCTCACATGGGAATACTTGTGCCCACTCATATATTTATGCCATACTAACATACACAATATACTTCTTGCTTCTTCTCTGATGAATTGACCTACTGGGGGGACACACACACTTTGCCACCACTCTGCACTCCTCCCTCTCTCTCCAAGGTGCAGGCTTCCTTAAACATGAAGCCAATTCTATTCTTCATGCAAATATGAGTGTGCTGAAGTGAAACTAACTAGATTAAGATTGAGGCTTTTATGAGCACTCTGAAGTGGGAGATATGGTTTGTCACCACACAGAGGAAAGAAAAGGTCAAGGTTTCACAACACAAAGAGGAGGCCAGAGATGTGACAAACTGCTGGGAAAGTCTCTAAGAGTCCAAGGCTGTGGCAGGCCACAGGAAAGTCAAGTGCAGGGCTGTTGCTCTCAGTTCTGAAGGTGCGTGGTGGAGCATGAGCAGGCCAGGCTGGAAGCAGGGCAAGGAGACCCACATGACCTGGCTAAACTCCAGAGGTGTAGAGAGGTGGTCAGAAGCTTATAATATTGCCATGGGACAGAGTTTGCTACTGTTGTTGCTGCCGATGACACATGAATTTTTAGGGGAACTAGGGAGGGAGGATCAATGTCATTGCCCTTCCAAACTCCATGTATGAATTTCCCCTACTGTCCATGGGAAAATAGTGGAACTTCTATTAAAAGCTTACAGTTATATATACTTATGATATGCCCGACATTTAAAAGTACTTTACATGTATTTACATTCATTACATTCATTTAATCCTTCTAAAAACTCTGTGATATAGTTATTGTTAAACCCCCTTTTTTACCAACAAAGAAATCAAGAGGTTGTTCCTGTCAGTCAGCTGCTAAGTGGCAGAACCAGGACTCAAAGTCAGATGGTCTGGCTCCAGAGCTTGTGCTCATGCCCATACACTACTATGCCTTTCCAAGGATTGGGGAAACTGAGTGATTTACTCAAATTTGAAAAGAGAGTTAAAACTGGAAGATTTTAAGGTGAGGAAACTGAAGCATAGAAAGGGTTGGAGTGAGGAACATAAAGGCTAGCACAGTAAGGGGAAAAAAATAAATTCTAACATTTATATCATTGCTGCAGACTTCATCGCAGCTCTGTCACAGGCACTATTATTAGCATCCTCATTTTATACAGGAAGAATCCACAGAGGTTAAGTAACTTACCTTCAGTTACTTGGGTAGAAAGTGGTAGACTGAAATGTGAACCCAGATGGTCTGGCTCCAAGCCTGTGTTGTTAATCATCACACTGACAGTCACATCTGTGGGAAACTGTGGGGGGCCCATGGAGTTTCTGTATGGCTGCCCTGGCTTCTGTACACTAGGTGCTGGTGAAATGTGCAGCACCCCTGCTTGTTTGCTTGATTCCACTAAGATCTTAGATGTTAACTCTGGGAATGCAGTGATTATGGCTTGTTAACTGTTGAATCCCCAGAGCCAAGCACACAGCCAGGTATAGGGTAAATGTTTACTGAAGGAGGCAATACATAGATGGGTGGATGGATGGATGGAAAGCCACCATGGAAAGCCTGGAACATTTATGTCCACTCCAGGGGCTTGTATTCATGCACCATCCTTCCTCACATTTACTTAACTGCCCCAGGATAGCCACATCTCTTTTCTTCACTCCATCATGGAGGGGCTTGCACTACATGTTTTCCCGGGTGATCCAGCTATGATTTCCTCGAGTCCCTTTAGGCCTATTTGTTCTGGCAATAGCTTCTGCAAGCGTTGCCGGAGGCCAACAGTATACCTAGTAGAGGAGAAAGACATGTGAACAGCTTTTTCCCATGGGAAAATGATTAAATGTTATGAGAGATAATGTTTAAGTTGGGCCTTTAAGTAAAAATTTCCAAAAGGGGAGTGGTAAGGATGTTCCAAGCAAAAGAAAGAACTTGAACAAAGCTATGGGGAAGTGAAGGAGCCAGGGTCTCAAAGGACAAGCTATCAGTTCAGGGTGACTGGGGCAAATGCTATAGGAGAGGAGCTGAAGCTGAGGCTGCAGAAGCATGTGGGGATCATAATTATTTCACGGGATCATCTGCATGGGAGGCCCAATAGAGCCCTTAGCAGCAGACTGGGGCACAACTGAGGATGGCTCCAGGGCTGTTTCTCACCAACAAGTCCTCTCTCCCCAGGAAGGAAGAATCTACCAAGTACTTCAACTTTTCGACTTCTGATGAGAAGAGTAAGAAAGAAGCTGAGCATCGTTATCATGTGAGAAGCCGGGGAGCATCCATATCTTCCCTCCCATGGTGCTGCTAATGTTGGGAGCTGGTGGGAGAAAGAGGAGCTGAGGGCTAGATCCAGGAAAGAAGTAGGATTTGGGATGCTCCCAGGACCACAATAATGTTCTGTCTCAATTTTCTGCAGGTGAATAACCTGAGTCAGCGAGATGTGGCCCTCAGCATTAATTTCTGGGTTCCTATCCTGCTGAATGGTGTGGCTGTGTGGGATGTGGCTGTAGTGGCCCCTTCACAGGTATCTGCTTGCCTTTCTAACTCTCCAGAGTCTGATCCTACAGTGCCTCACACCCTCTTACCAGTGAAATGTTGATCATTCTGTGGCTATTTCTCTCTCTCACTAGAGTCTCTCGTGTGTGTCGGAGAGGGAACCTCCCCAGCATCCTGACTTCCTGACCCAGATTCCAGGGAGTCTTGTACTGGTGAGAAAGACCCTGGATTCCCATTGCAGGACCAAGTGCCTAGAAATGCACTTGCTAGTTTGGAGATCTATATATATGACCTATAATCGCCATCTATTCCCCACTCCCAAACCTGATGGACTTCATTTTCTCCTGTGGTTCTTGCCTAAGTTAAGACCCTCCTCAACTTCATTCCTCCCCTGTCTCTAGAACTGCTCCATTGCTGACTGCCTGAGGTTCCACTGTAACCTCCCCCCCTTTGGCATCCAGGAGGAACTTGACTTCATCCTGAAGGGCAACCTCAACTTTGGCTGGGTCAGCCAGGTGTGTAGGCCCAACAGCAGAGTCCCTCCTCTGGATTTCGGTGGTACCAGATGTGTCTGTGCCCATCCTCAAGCCAGGAGATTTCTCAAACTCTGAGCCTCTTCTTAGGGCTATTTCCCCAGCTCTGTCCCTGTGTATTGCAGACATTGCAGAAGAAGGTATTGGTGGTGAATGTGGCTGAAATCACATTCAACAGATCCGTGTATTCCCAGCTTCCAGGACAGGAGGCATTCTTGAGAGCTCAGGTAGGGACTATGTGGTAGGAGTGGCCAGGCTGGTAAGAGGGCTCCTAATGCTAAATCTTTGGTGCTGTGTGGGAGGCTCAGAAGCCTGGAGGGAGGCAGGATGAAGGCCCCTCCGCAGGAGAGTTGTCCCTAAGTCCATAAGTATTTCTGTATCTCACCCCTTGAGCAAAGGAAGGAGGGGTGGCCCTTAAAGGTTGGGGAACCTGGGAAGAGTCTGGGACAACAAGGAGTCTGATACTTTCTCATTCACAAATTAGACGGCGATGGTGCTTGAAGTGTATGAGGTCTATGATCCTATTCCCCTCATCGTGGGAAGCTCTGTGGGAGGACTGCTGCTCTTGGCTCTCATCACAGCCATCCTATACAAAGTGAGTGTCTTCATCCCACTCTCAACACTATCAGTATCTAACCCAAGCCCTTCCAGAGACAGGATGGTATAGTGGGAAGAACTCAGACAATGGAATCAGACAAGCCTATGTGTACATTTTGGCTCTATTCTGCTCACTCTTTAAAGTCAGGCAAATTGCTCAACTTCTCTGAGCTTGTATCCTCATTTTTTAAATGACAGTAATGCCTACATTACAGAGTAGCTGAAGTGAGACAGAAATGAAGCCAGGGTATGTGTGTAGGCCTGCCTATGAATTTATGCTTTTCTACTATAGCTTTTATGCATAACTGCTGTGCTTGCACACAGTAGATAATACATGATAGCTGTTATTCATATAAGTGTTCTGCCACACAAATACGAGTCAGCTTATTTCTCTTCTCATCTTCTCTCTCAGCTTCTTCCTACTCCCAACTGTCTTCCCTGTCCTCTTACCCAGCTCTTCTGATTTACTTCCCTTCACAGCTTGGCTTCTTCTAACATCAGTACAAAGAAATGCTGGACAACAAACCTGAAGACAATGCCACATTCAGTCAGGAGGATGTCAGCTGTGAGGCCCCAAATTTGCCTTTGTCCTAATAATTCACTTTTCTGTTTGTCTCTACCCCCATGGACTGGTCTTGCCTTTGCCTACAAATCTACTTCCATGGGAAAAATTTCTGAATAGATCTGGACTTGTCTGAGCAACTTATCAGGTGCTAAGCCAACTTCTCAAGGCAATGAAAGGTTTTTATATTTTAACATATTTGTCAGTTCTTTAGTAATGACTCACTTTTTACAGAAGCAAACATGAAGCCAGCATGAATTTTCATATATATAAAGAATTGCCACATTAAATGAGGATGTTTATAACATATTCTTCTTGTATGAAAGAGCTCTAATTCAGGGATCTGAGTCCTGTTCTAGGAAGAGTTGGGGGAAACTGCTTGTGGGCCTAGAAAACATTCTCTCAGTTTTTCAGGTGACTGAGGCCTGAGATAATCTTTTCTTAATGGTGCCATGAGTAATATTAGGGGAGAAGCCAAAGGAAGAACTCTATGTGTGTGTTGCTCATGGGGCTCAGCCCAGGCTTGAGGCTCCTTGGTAATGGCAAATGAGCAGAATGTCCTAGGAGGGGAGTGAAATGTCCTGAACATGTTTGAACCAATATTCCCCTTGAATGAGGTCCCCAAAGACTGGGAGAGCCAGGCTTCCAAAAAGGAGCATCTGATGTCCCAGACAATACAGAAGACCCATTAAAGGTGGTCATAGAGAATGGCTGAAATATTCCAAATCCAAAATTAGGTCATGAAGCCTCACACATAGGGCTGTAGGTCCTCTGTTTGAAATCACGGTTGTCTCCAGAAAGCCAAAATTCACAAATACTGTCAGTGTATCAGGCAAAAAGTTGTCTGCAGCCCTGAGTTACCAGGGGACTTCTGAGGAGGGGCCTCATTTAAGTGATTTAATCTCTGAGAATCTCAATTCCTCCTCTAGAGAATGGGAACCAAAATTATATCTTGCTCCCAGAGATACTGTGAGGATTCAGTGTTATGTGAAAGACCTTTACAGCCTAGAGCCCTAATTATTAATAGGTGAGAGAAAAGGTGTGGGGATGAAGATCTCCTACCTAGTCATCAAGGACATTCCCCCGAGCACCTCCCAAATCATGGTCTTGGGAAGAGCAAGCGGAGCACAGACTGCACTGTGCGCCTGCGCCCAGTAGAGCTCCTCGGTCCCCACCGCACCCCACGGTCCCCAGGGAGCCTGCGGACACACAGCTTCCACACCTTTATTGCGCCTGGTGGCATCTGCCTGGGCCTCAGGGCTGTTCATAGCCAGTGGGCAGAGGGTTGACACGGGGATTGTGGAAAAGGGTGTGGTTGCCGTCTCCCCAGGAGTAGGGCTGTGAAGAAAGGGAGAGCGGATTGTCAGCGTGGTCTGGGCCTGGGGGTTCCAAGGCCCCTTCCCCCCTCCCCCACACCCTTTGCCCATCTGACCCTCACTCCCGCCCTGGGGGCAGAGGCCTCAGGCCAACGTACCTTGGTGCGGATACGGAGGTGGTGGTAGGGGATAAACTTCGGGCGTTCGTGGTGGCCCCTGTGGAGCCAGGAGTTGAGGGTGCAGAGGGCCACGCTTGGCAGTGCCAGCATGAAGGTCAGGAGGCGCCAGGTGCTGGCTGCAGAAGGAGGGGGTAAGCAGAGATGAAAGAGAAGTGGGGAGGCCAGGGCCTCTGAAGGTCAGAGTGGGAGGGTTGGTCAGTGGGGGCCTCGTCAGACCCTGGAAGGCCACACAGGTGGGAGAGAGGTACAAGTAGGCAAGCCACAGGGTCAGATCCCAGCCCCACTCACCTCCTGCCCCTCCGTGGTCTCCCTTTGCTGCACTTGCCAAGCCCCGACTCAAGGACCTCAGAGGCAGAGCCATTGCGGTGGGTGAGAGAAACTGGAAACTGCACTGTCCTTTCACTCTCCTTCACCAAGGCCTAGATTCTCCTCCCCTCTTTTTGGACCAATCACCTGTTGAGTCTGTAACATGGGTGGCTATTTTTAGGGGTTTTCTATATTTAAAATGAGGCCTTACTGCCATGAGGTCCTTCTCTCCAGACAGCTGCTGTTTGGTACCTCTTATTTTGGTAAGGGACACTTAAAAAAACCAATGTGCCATTCTTTTTATGGTTGCAGGGAACTATTTCCTTCAATACTCTATTCCCAGTGGCTGGCACACAGTAGGTCTTTAATAACTATTTGTAGAATGAATTAAGTGTCCTTTTGAATCTCAGTTTTTTCATCTGTACAATGTATAATAATTTATACCTTAAATGAAGTTTATGAAATTTAAGTAAAGTAACAGGAATATGCCAGCTTAGTGTCTGGCATGAAACAGTAGCTCAGTATATGTATTAGTTACAGTTCTTTGCAAAGAACGTAACTCACTCTAATTGGTTTTAAAAAGATAAGCAATTGAAAATCAGGTAGCTCAAAGTGTCTCTGGTATGGCCAGAGAAGCCAATAATCTGTGCAGCCAGAAGCAAGCTAATCTATGGGCCAGCTGCCGTGAGACACCACCACAATTTGCACTACTGGACTCCAGATGCCAAAAACTTCACCCATGCTGCTCTGGAAAGCCAGATTCTTCTACCCTAACATCCTTCTTCATGAAGCTTGCATCCTTGAGTTGTCTTCTGAATCAGAGAATCATGTGTGCCCCAGTTGACAAAAGCTAGGTCATTGCCTATGCTCTAGCTTCAAGAAAGGCTGGGAAATTGAGTTCTGCCTTCTACCTTAAGGAGGCAGGGATTCTATCTTGGAGAAAATCCCCAAGTATAAGAAACGTATTCAAAAGATACTGGGTAGCCACAGACTTGACAAGGGTCTACTGCTAAGTATATTATTCAATCTGAAAAATCTGACTACTTAGAGGAAAAAGAAGAAAACCTAGGGAGACTTGTATAAGCCCTTTGTCAAAGTCGGTCCCTAGAAAGCTACAAGATAGCACAGGGCTAATTTCTGCCCGGTGCACTGTTCTGTCCTCTGCACTAGCACAAAACCTGGCATGAAATAGTTGTTCTAAAAATATGTTTTTATTGAATGCTTCAACCATGTTACATTAGTTAACCCTATATAAATGCCTTTGCAGAACCATAAGTGAACAGGATGCCTCCAGCTTTGATCAGGACTGATGTAACTAATATGAATTTAATATATAAAAGAAAAATGAATTTTTCTACTTAATCTGAATATATAAAAGAAAAATGGAAAATGTACATTTTTAGGTAGGGGCTGCTCCATAACTATTCCTCCTGTTGGTTTGAAACTGAACACTAGCTTCTACTTAACTTTCTGAAGCTTTTTTTAAAGTAACCTTGTTGAACAGTCAAATGTTATAGTGCTTCTGAATTATTCCAGAGCCCTCAATGAGCTATAATGGAATTCTTCCTATGATTGATATTTCCCAGTTGGAGTTTGGACTTGCTGCTGAGAAGATGGGCCTTATTCTAGTTAAAGGTACATGGCATACAGTCCCCTCAGCTTATGATTATGGCTTTTTTTTTTTTACATTTTTAAAAAAATTTTATTATGTTATGTTAGTCACCATACAATACATCATTAGTTTTTGATGTGGTGATCCATGATCCATTGTTTTTGTAGAACACCCAGTGCTCCATGCAGTACATGCCCTCCTTAATACCCATCACTGGGCTAACGAATCCCTCCTCCCCTCTAAAACCCTGTTTGTTTCTCAGAATCCATAGTCTCTCATGGTTCATCTCTCCCTCCGATTCCCCCCCCTTCATTTTTCCCTTCCTTCTCCTAATGTCCTCCATGCTATTCCTTATGTTCCACAAATAAGTGAAACCATATGA